AAATTTAGATTAGCTTACAATATTGCAAGTTCTTTCAAATTTTGACGTGAATTTTTAAAAGCACTTTCTCCCGTGTTCTCAGCAATTTGTTCGTCCATTTCACGAATGTTTTTAGGCCAATTTTTATGTTTTAGCAATCCTTTTTTAAATTCCTTTCTAGCAATGGCGGTGACAAATTCATATACGAAATTGAGGCTTTTGAAAGGCATAGGTTTATCTTTGGAAGTAAGGCCAACAATTACTTTGTAGTGAGCAATGTTGATGAGTTGATTCATTGTTAATTGATGTGTGAATACCTTTTAGAATTAAGTTAGCAAGCCTAAGTTAGCAAGAGATTAGCAAACCCTGCGAGGTGGACTTGCTAATCTCTTCCGAGGGACTTGCTAATCTCTTCCAAGGGACTTGCTAATCTCTTCCGAGGGACTTGCTAATCTCTTCCGAGGGACTTGCTAATCTCTTCCGAGGGACTTGCTAATCTCTTCCGAGGGACTTGCTAATCTCTTCCGAGGGACTTGCTAATCTCTTCCGAGGGACTTGCTAATCTCTTCCGAGGGACTTGCTAATCTCTTCCGAGGGACTTGCTAATCTCTTCCGAGGGACTTGCTAATCTCTTCCGAGGGACTTGCTAATCTCTTCCGAGGGACTTGCTAATCTCTTCCGAGGGACTTGCTAATCTCTTCCGAGGGACTTGCTAATCTCTTCCGAGGGACTTGCTAATCTCTTCCGAGGGACTTGCTAATCTCTTCCGAGGGACTTGCTAATCTCTTCCGAGGGACTTGCTAATCTCTTCCGAGGGACTTGCTAATCTCTTCCGAGGGACTTGCTAATCTCTTCCGAGGGACTTGCTAATCTCTTCCGAGGGACTTGCTAATCTCTTCCGAGGGACTTGCTAATCTCTTCCGAGGGACTTGCTAATCTCTTCCGAGGGACTTGCTAATCTCTTCCTATATATGCTTTAATAACATCAGAGAGTAATTGTTTCAACCTCTGACTAGTGGAGGTGATTATTAGAGATGTGCGATACCGCAATTTGGTAGATATACACTTAGGGGTCCCAAACGAAATTTAAAAATGTAATGTGAATCCAGGTGTGTACGCACAAGGTGTTCTTATAAGACCGGCTTAACGTGTCTTTTATAAACTCTGTTCCTTACCTTTATTTCCTTCCCGTTTGAATAAAATATGCCATCTATTATACCCTGTTCAGTATCCAAATTTTGCTGAACATTTGTTTCAGGTTTCATAACCAATTCTCCGTTTTCATACTCGATGAAGTAATTAATCTTTTTAACCGAATCAAAAAGGTTTAGGCGATCCATTGTATAATGAACTGAAAATTAATAGAGTAAAAGCGTAGTAAAAGTTTGATTCCGGCAGGCTTCAATCCTGAGAACTCCTGAGGAAAAATTTCTCCGACCTCTGCTTACTATAAACCGAGTTAGCATATATTTACTACTTAATTATTAAAGCTATGCATAATTTTTAAAGCTATGCAACTAAAGATATGCTCTAGATATGCTCAATTATCTTTCATTTTCCAGGGTATATTCTTGAATTGACAGCGATATTACTTTTTGCTTTTACGTCTTTTGAATTTTATAACCAAATCCCTAATAAACACTTACTTCTATATTTTTCATTTTTAGCCTTGTCAGTTCCGTAAAGCACGACCATTACATGATCATCAAAGTTATTTTCATTATACTTAGAATGCTTTTTATGCTTTTTCATATCTGCACTTTTTTGGTCTGAACGAGAATACTTTATGTTTGCTAAGAATTCTAACAAAAATACAAAAATAAAAACTAAGATGATTAAAATTGTTAAATGCACGATAAGTATTTTAATTATTATAACGGAATAATTTTCTTGATCTTCCCGAGGTTCAAGGTTACCGTCAGTAGTAATGTTCGAGAGTTAAAAAAAGCCGAGAGTCGAGACCGAGAGCTCAAAAAACCCGAGACCGAGAGTCTCAAAGATCACTAACCGGCAGCTACTAAAAAAATTAATAATTGATATAATGTATATTATGCAAAATTAGTTTTTTTTATTTTTAAACATACATTGGTTAGTATAAATTTTCACTCTATATCCTGAATGATCAGCTAGCTTTACTTTTAACTTCCCATTATTTCCACCTTGACCTCCACTTGAGGAACTATCTGCTTCTTTAATGAGATGATGCTGTCCACCTCCAAAACTTTCTCCTCCTTTAAAGATATGAAGCTCTTCACTTCCGGAATTTTCTGCTTCATTATATTTAAGAAGCTTTTCAGTTTTAAAACTTTCTTCTCCTTTAACGCTAAGAAGCTTTTCGCTTCCGGAACTATCTCCTTCTTCATATTTAACATGCTTTCCACTTCCAAAACTTCCTCCTCCTTTAACCATGTGAAGCTTTTCAGTTCTATAACGTTCTCCTCCTTTAACCATGTGAAGCTTTTCACTTCCGGAACTTACTCCTCCTTTAACCATAAGAAGCTTTTGACTTCCGGAACTTCCTCCTCCTTTAGCCATGTGAAGCTTTTCACTTCCGGAACTTCTTCCTCCTTTAGCCATGTGAAGCTTTTCACTTCCGGAACTTCTTCCTCCTTTAACCATAAGAAGCTTTTGACTTCCGGAACTTCCTCCTCCTTTAGCCATGTGAAGCTTTTCACTTCCGGAACTTCTTCCTCCTTTATTTTTAAAAAGCTTTTCAGTTCCGTAGCTATCTCCTCCTTTAAAGATATGATGCTTTTCATTTTCAAAACCTTCTCTTTTAACCATGTGAAGCTTTTGACTTCCGGAACTATCTCCTCCTTTAACGTTAAGATGCTTTCCAGTTCCATAACGTTTTCCTTTATAGATAGGAAGCTCTTCACTATCGGAACTTTCTGCTCCTTTAAAGCTAAGCTCTTCACTTCCGGAACTTTCTGCTCCTTTATATTTTCCATAACCTTCCCCTCCACCTCCAATTGCATATTCAATGCAAATCAAAGAAAACACCAAAAAGAAAAACATTCTTTTCTTAAAGAATGAATTGGGTTGCTTTAAGAAAATCATCTGGAAATTTGGAAATATTATATGTTCTGTGTAACTCAGTCAAAATAAATTAAAAACAAGAAAGTTAGGCTATTTTATATTCCTATAGATTTTAGAGAATTAAAAAAATAAAAAAATAATTTAAACTGGTTGTTGCTTGGTATTCAACGCTTATTTATACGGACCCACAGACTCGTCGAACATGTCCATTGAGGCGGAGCATGTCTTAACTTGCGGGCAAGTCTGTAAATTTCTCTAACAGCATTATACATGACACTCTAAATAATACATGCTATTTAGAAGTGTCGAGTTTGTACACTTTTATACATGAATAATTTTTATCAGAGAACAAATTCAAGTCTTAAAAACGTGCGTACATTGATTCTTAAAAGTGTCACGTGGCATAAGTGTGTATATTGACACTCTCGATTGCCTAATTAAACATACAGAGGCCTAGGGCATAATAATTGTCCAGCGCTGTCGTTAAATTGGCTCCCGGAGATTTGGGGAGTGGGCATTTGGGGAGTGGACAATTGGGGAGTGGAAATTTGGGGAGTGAGCGGACATTTGGAGAGTGGACAATTGGGGAGTAGACATTTGGGGAGTGTGGATTAAAAAAATAATTTAAAAATAGATTTTTTGGACAATAAAAATAATTTATACACTAGTGAAGGTGTTTTTGTGGAGTTTAAAAGGGTAAATTCAATTCCCCCTCCTTTTTCCTTCTTCAACGTATTAAAAAATGGTCAGTCAATTTTAGGTTATAGAACTGAAAAAATCGAAAAATTGAAAATTTTGAGAAAAAGGAAGAAATTTTGTCCATTGGCCTTCTAAAATTCTAAAAACTTTCACCTACGGCGCTAAAACGTGAATTTTTCATATGCCTATGGTAGAGTTGGAAAAAACGATACTGGTATCGGTCAACCCGAGACCGAGATTGACCGATACTCAAGAACCCGATACTGAGACCGATACCATCATTTTGAGCCGAGACCGATACCGAGAAACGATACTGACCGAGACGAGTGTATAAATTATTTTTATTGTCCAAAAAATCTATTTTTAAATTATTTTTTTAATCCATACTCCCCAAATGTCCGCTCACTCCCCAAATTTCCACTCCCCAATTGTCCACTCCCCAAATGTCCACTCCCCAAATTTCCGGACACGGTTAAATTCCTGCCAAAATTATTTGACGAGTGCGTTTTTAGTCTATCAAAATTGTGTCCGATTGTGTACGAATGTACGATCGTGTTTAAATGTTTAAATCAATTCATATGACACGTTAGTCAGATGCCTCTATCACGCGAATCGAGTGTCATTTCATTGTATGTGAAAAATGTTGTCAATATTTGCACTCTCGATTTCAATGGCCAGATTTAGGCAAAACGTCCCTCCGACAGTCGCTATACCTTAACAAATGAATTTGCCATTTTTTACATATTAAACATAATTTAACTTTACAACATACAACTTTTGTCGTAATTTAAGAAAGAGTCCAAATTTCCAGTTTCGTACCGGTTCCAAACCTTTACCGGTTCCATAGTTCTAGTTTCACACATAATTATAATAAACACATAATATGATAAACAAAAATTTTTTATAGATTTACGCAATGAAAATAAAACAGATACCGAATAAATAAAAATAATGCGGTGTAAACTGAATTTTGGGGTTCCCTATTTCTTCCACAAGGCTCAAGGTTAATTTTACTAGAATTTTATTTAGATTGTGATAATTTAATAAAACTTCTAAATTTTTTCGGATCATTTATTTTAATTGATTCATTTGGAAGATTATTCCATTTATTTACCACCCTATGAAAAAAATTATTTTATTATGATTGATAAGAGAGTGGTTTTTAAGTTCTTCAATACTTTTCCCAAGAAATGACTCAATTTCTCAAATTTTTAAGTTTCTTAATTTAAGTATCTCAATACCCTGAATACCTTAATTCTCAAACAAGTTAATCATTTTTAACATTTATTCTTGACATGTATTTTATGCAACATTATGATTAATATTTTAATAAGACTCTTCTCAATTTTATTCCCACATTTAATATTTTGGCTTTTTCGTAGGCTTCTTTGTAGGTTTAGTTGTAGATGGTGGAGGAGTTGGAACGTAGCAATAGTTTCCTTTATGGCATATGAGTCCTTTTGGGCAATCGTAACAGTTTCCATGGCGTGATTTACTCGTACAACAATGTACTGAATTAAAGATTATTTAAAGTGTTTTAAATCTGGCTTGCTTTGCTTTGGTGTAGTTTTCTCTGTTGAAGTCCTAGCAGGTTTAGTTACAGTAGGCTTAGGAGTTGGAAGCAGAGTTTTTTCGAAATTTCGATTTTCGAGGGTTTTTTCTTTCAATTTCCGATTTTAAATTTTTGAAAAAATTTGAATTTATGGCCAAAAATGGATGATTTTTGGCTTATCGTCCATCATTAATTTAAAAAATTTATGGCCTAAAATGGATGATTTTTGGCTTAAGTATTCTCCAAAATTTTCGCCTGCGGCGCTGAAAAAGGAAGATTTTTGCTTCATGGCCTTCCAAAATTCTCAAAATTAATTTTCGCCTCCACTTCTAATTAGAGGAAGCCCTGATCTATTAACAATATTATGCTTCGTCTCCAATATATTGGAGATGCCGGTACCCTATTCCAGGTACCGCCCAACCCTATGTGTAAAGCGGCCTAGCTAATCATATATAGTACCAACTTGGATGGTAGCAATATAACCGTCCGTAGCATGCTTGTCCTTCTGGGCATTTGTAACAATTTACGCCTCCAAAGCGAGGACAACAATTTTCTGAATAAAATTGTTATTTAAAATATTTATAGATGCATGCTTGGCTTCGGTGTAGTTTGAACTGTCGTAGTCGTAGGTTTAGGAGTTGGAAGGTAGCAATATTCGCCTCGATAGCATTGTTGTCCGTTTGGGCAATTGTAACAATTTACACCGCGTCCTGCTCGATGACAACATTTTTCTGAATAAAAGATTACTTAAAATATTTAAAGTCTTGTGTGCCTTTCTTGGGTGTAGTTTTCTCAGTTGTAGTCGTAGGATACACATAATGGCACAAACGATCAGATTCGCAAACATAACCAGATGGACATTCTCCGTACTCACCACATTGTGGCCACAAAGCTATAATTAACACAATTTGTCCGATGTATAACGAGATTCTATTGTATTTTATAAATTACAGTTTAAAACTGACCCAATACTATTCCGAAAAATTGAACAAAAAACAACAGTATAAACTAAAATTTGTTATAAAATTTTAAATTTAGGCACGTAGCATTTACCTTCATTTCTTGAGTAGTTATACTTAATAAATAGTTTTTAAAGACTGATATTAGTTAACAGAAATCATGGCATTTAAATACACAGTTAATTGATGGGCACAGACTAGTATTATACTTCCGCATTTTCAAAAACCTAATTTTATTTTTATATTCATATCATAAACAAATTGAAATATAATATATTTAGCAAACAAAATTAATGTGTAAATGACTATCATAAACATCTTAAAAATGTTTGTTTTGTGACAAATATTCAAATTTTATCAACTTGTTAGTTAGTTGCATTAATCGCCACGTTAAAATAGCTACATAGAGCTTATGTCAAAGCAACATTAATTGAAGGAATCAGTTGTTTATTTGTTTTATTATCATGTTGCTTACTAAATAGCGTGTTAATATGTTGATGAATATGTTTGTGTGTGTTGTAAAACAAACAAAATATTCATCAGAATATTCCCTCCTTATTTTTTATTGAAAATTTAAAATTAACCAAAGTTGCTAGGCTATCGTTAGTTTTAAAATGTTATCGGTAGGAAGAAGAGAAGGTGTGTCAGCTCTTTTTTCACTAATAGTTGCTCAGCTAGGCTATCGTTGGTTTTAAAATGTTATCACTAGGCTGAAGAGAAGGCTTGTTAGCTCTCTTTTCACTATTGTTTGCTCTCTTTTTCTCACTCTCTTTTTAGTGTTAGCTCTCTCTCCTCGATCTTCTACCCTCGTATTCTTGTACGTGATAAATTGTTAATTTAGAAAAGCTCGGAAAATCCACGGATGTAACAATCACACGAAGTAGCGTGACACTTAAATCATTTATTTGGACGATTTTTAGCCTAGTTACACGTAACTATATGCTTTCTGATTAACATTTAGAGAAAATATAACCCACAACTGTATTTATAAAAGCCAATAAATTTTTTAGAGTAAATCATTATCTAAAATAATTCATTAATAATAACTACTCCAGAAATGAAGGTATAATACTCAAGATATCCAAGAATGAAAATTTTTCAAGCCCATGACCTGAGACTTGTCATGGTATTTGTAACCCAAGGCTAGACACCAAGTCTCAAGATCAAAGACCTGACCCATCAAGATCCAAGACCTGACCCCTCAAGGCCCGAGCTTGACTCCAACCCCAGGAATTAAGACCACTGTGAAAACCTTCAAGAACTGTCTTGACTTCAAGACGAATATTCTTGGATTTCTAAACGAAATACTTGCTACTTTAATCTTAAATTTATAACAAATTTTAGTTTATACTGTTGGTTTTTATTCAAATGTGCGTAATAGCATTGGTATTATCTCAAGAAAAACGTAAATATAAACATTGATGAATTTTCAAATTTAGCAATTATAGCTCTAATATGTCCACTATGTCGAATTGGATATGTCTGTGAACTTGGTGTTTGCATCAAACGTAAGACAAAAAAGGCAAAATCCCATACCCTTTTTTCCTTCCACAATGTGGAAAATTATCAGACCTACATAAAATGTGTTCCAACACTCCATGGCGAGAAGTACCTAGCTCTGCTTTTTAGAACGAATCCAACGTTGCCTTGTTACTTTTCGACAACGAAAGGCTCCCAGCCTCCGAATAATCCTATATATAATTTGTGAATGGAAGGAAATTGTTTGTCACACGGCTTTTATAGTAAACTGATTTGGGGAGTGAGGAAAAGGGGGCTTTTATAGTAAAATGATTTGGGGAGTGAGGAAAAGGGGGCTTTTATAGTAAAATGATTTGGGGAGTGAGGAAAAGGGGGCTTTTATAGTAAAATGATTTGGGGAGTGAGGAAATGGGGGCTTTTATAGTAAAATGATTTGGGGAGCGAGGAAATGAAAATATCTATTTTCTTTTGAGAAGGTTGACGTAGACAGAATTGCCTCGAGGTTTTAGATACAGTTTTTGATGCTCTTTCGAATAAGCTATAGATTATGAGGAGGGTCCCTAAATTCACAGAGTTACACGGCTTTGAAGGTTTTCAAATATAAATTACAATTTACAATTCCATCTAATCTTCGAGAAAGTTTTTAACAAAATTGCCCCAAGGTTTTAGATACAGTTTTTGATGCTCTTTCGAATAAGCTATAGATTATGAGGAGGGTCCCTAAATTCACAGAGTTACACGGCTTTGAAGATTTTCAAATATAAATTAACATTTACAATTCCATCTATTTTATCTTTGAGAAAGTTTTTATAAACAAAATTGCCCCAAGGTTTTAGATACAGTTTTTGATGCTCTTTCGAATAAGCTATAGCTTATGAGGAGGGTCCCTAAATTCACAGAGTTACACGGCTTTGAAGGTTTTCAAATATAAAATACAATTTACAATTCCATCTAATCTTCGAGAAAGTTTTTAACAAAATTGCCCCAAGGTTTTAGATACAGTTTTTGATGCTCTTTCGAATAAGCTATAGATTATGAGGAGGGTCCCTAAATTCACAGAGTTACACGGCTTTGAAGGTTTTCAAATATAATTTACAATTTACAATTCCATCTAATCTTCGAGAAAGTTTTTAACAAAATTGCCCCAAGGTTTTAGATACAGTTTTTGATGCTCTTTCGAATAAGCTATAGATTATGAGGAGGGTCCTTAAAATCATCAAGTTATTGATAGCTGATAGGGTTAATGCGAGTTTTCGTTACTCTGCAGGTGAATTTGTTTACTATAAAAGTACTTGATTTTAGTCGCTAAACATCACTCAATACTCTCATCACTCTACATCAACAACAACAAAACAACGTCCGACAACAGCAGCAATCTCCAGGTACCTGGCTGTAGCATTGTATTAGATTTAGATTTAGATATAGAACATAGTATTAGTTTTAGTGATAGATTAAAGTTATCTGCTAAAGAGAGGAAGAAAAGCAATTAGATAGTGAAACAGCTGAGCAAAAACGAATTAGACTTGAGAAGCAAAGAGAAAGAAATAGAAAAAGAATAGCAAATGAATCAGAAATTGAACGTGAAAATAGACTTGCAAAGCAGAGAGAGACAAATAGAAAGAGATTTGCAAGCGAATCAGAAGTAGAACGAGAGAATAGATTAAATGATAAACGACATAGAATTAACAATGAAACAGAAGTAGAAAGAGAAAATAGGCTTGAATATTTTAAAATGAATAAGATTAGAAATAGACAAAGCGTCGTACAGTTATATGCAGCTGGCGATTGTAGTAATGTTGTTAGTCATAGACTCGGACGGATGGATGTTGAGTGTACCTATTGTGGTGCTCTGCATTTTCCAGAAGAGAAGATTAGTAATAAGGGTAGTACGTTTAAGGAATGTTGCCATTATGGCAAGGTTCATTTAACAATGCTACCAGAAGATGAGTTTCCAGATTTGTTGAAGAATTTGTTTCTGAAACTAGATTCAAGACATAAGAACTTTTTTGATTGTATTAGAAATTTGAATAGTAGCGTATCCATGGCTTCCATGAATCCGCTAAGATATAGATATCCAAGTAATAGAGGCCCATACTGCTTCCGCATATGTGGTCAGATTTATCATAGAATGAATTTAGCTTTGAATCCAGATCCAGAAGATGAGCCTGCTTATGGGCAAGTCTTCATTATAGATACAGTGCAAGCTATTAGTACATTGCATAGAGCCAACCCGGTCATAGACCAACGGTTGTTAGTTGATGTATATGAATTGATAAAAGAAATTAGTCCTTTTGCACAAGCTTATAGAATGATGAAAGATGAAGAGGATGAAGAATTAGAAAGAGCTATAAGAGAAAATAGGTCTCCGGTGGAGATAAGTTTGTTATTTGATACAAAAAGTAAATTAGATAAAAGATTAGGGTACAATGTACCAAAAGCAAATGAAGTAGCAGCAGTTTATGTTCCAGGAGCTGATGGCGAAGTGCCTGATGCTAAGATTGTTGTTAGAGAGCGAGGAAAAGAGTTAAGAATTTTGAATAGTACAAATGAAATGTTCAGCCCGATGACGTACCCGTTGTTTTTTCCACGTGGTACCTTGGGTTGGCATCCAGATATTAGACAAGATAATAGTACTAGAAGAGTAACAAGACTTCAGTATATAAGTTATAGTATTGGTATTAGGAAAGAGTTTAACCCCATTCTATATGGAGGAAAACTTTTTCAACAGTATTGTGTTGATGAATGGGTAAAGATTGAAGGAGATAGAATGAGATGGATTAGAAGTAATCAGAAAACTATTTTTGCTGATGCTTACAAGAATGTTGATAGTTTTTTAGAAAAGAGAGCGAGAGAATCTGGGAAACCGTTGGGGCGGAAGGTAATTTTGCCTCCATCGGTTACCAATTCGCCAAGATATATAGAAAAGCACTTCCAGGATGCAATGGCATTAGTGCGACGGTTTGGGAAACCAGATTTGTTCGTGACTATGACTTGCAATCCACAATGGGAGGAGATTGTAGAGAATTTGTATCAAGGACAAGTTTCAGCAGATAGACCAGATTTAGTTGATAGAGTATTCTATCTAAAAGTAAAAGCATTAATGACTGAGATAACAAAGACTAAGATTTTTGGTAGAGAACTTTGTTGGATGTATCCGGTAGAGAACCAAGGTCGGGGACTACCGCACATCCATCTGCTTTTGACCATGTTTGATATTGATAAAGTTACTAGCTCTGAAGATGTTGAAAAGCGTGGAATTAGTGCTAGAATACCAGATAAAGATATTGACAAAGATTTGTTTGATTTAGTTAAAAAGCATATGATACATGGACCATGTGGTGATTTGAATCCAAATTGCCCATGCATGGAAGAGAAGGAAGTAAATGGAAAAAAGATCAGAATTTGTTCAAAAGGATATCCAAAACCTTTTCAAGAAGAGACAGTAGTATTAGAAAATGGCCAAGCATTGTATGCGAGACCTAGAGATAAAAAAATAGTTGAAGTATTTGTTTCAGGAAAGAGATTTGAATTAGATAATAGATGGGTTGTTCCACATAACCCCTATTTGTTAAAGAAGTTTAGATGCCACATTAATGTGGAAAAAGTTAATAGTGTGACCTCAGTTAAGTATTTGCATAAGTATGTGCACAAGCTACCAGATAGAGCTACTATGAATTATGAAGAGAAAACAGATCATGATGAGATTAAAGAGTATATAGACGCACGGTATGTCTGTCCTCAGGAGGCCGTGTGGAGAATATTAGAATACCCAACATATGATAGAAGTCATAGCATTACAACCTTACCAGTCCATTTGGATGGTGAGCACGTTTGCTATTTTGATGAGAATATGACAGAGGATGAGATAAGAGAGAAAATAGAAAATGATTCTGAGTTATTAGCATATTTTGATTTGAATAAGAATAATAATTTAGCACGGAATCTTTTTTACCATGAGATTCCGGAAAAGTTTGTGTTTAGTAAAGGAAAATGGAATAATAGAAAAAAGCATTTTAGTACAATCGGTCGGATGGTTAAGGTTTCGCCAGCTGAAACTGAACGCTATCATTTACGACTGTTGTTGTTGAATGTTAAAGGAGCTACAAGTTATGATGATATTAGAACAGTAAAAAGTTTAGATTTAAATATAGAGACCAGATATGCTACCTTTGCGGAAGCATGTTTAGCAAGAGGTTTGATTCGAGATGATGAAGAATGGAAAAAAGCATTAGAAGAAGCGAATAGTTTTGAAATGCCTTGGAAAATGAGAGAGTTGTTTGCTTTGATTTTAGTACATTGTAATCCAGCAAAGCCTGATGAACTTTGGAGTTTGTTTAAGAATGATTTGGCAGAAGATTTTGCAAAGAAACATAGTATTGAACTAGCATATAGAAAAGCTTATTTAGACATAGCGAAAAGAATTGTTGAAGCGGGAAAATCGCTTGACGATTTTCCTACAATGGAAAAGATTGATGATATTGACTTAGATATTGAAGAGAAATTTGATATAGTTGAAGAATTAGACATAGGTCGTAAAAGCTATGAGTCATTAAACGACGAGCAAAGAGCAATAGTAGATGAGATTATGAATAGGATCTCCAATCCCGATGGGAAAGTAGCATTCTATTTTCTCAGTGGACCTGGAGGATCAGGAAAGACATTTGTTATTAGTACAATAGTTCATTTAATTAGAGGAATGAAAAAGAAAGTTAGTACTATGGCCTTTACTGGGATTGCGGCAACGCTTTTACCAGGAGGTAGAACTATGCATAATAGATTTGGTTTGAATTTAGATATGAGCAATTCGAAAATAGGTCCGAGCTCAAAAGCTTGGACAGAACTGGAGAATATAGATATGTTTATTTGTGATGAGGCTCCAATGATTCACAAAAGAGCATTATCAACTATAGATTTGAAATTGAAAGAGATTATGAAGAGTAATATAGACTTTGGTGGCAAAATTATGCTGATGGCAGGTGATTTTCGCCAGACTTTGCCTATCCAAAAGCATGCCACAAGAGCAGAGATATGCGATCTGACTGTGAAAAGAAGTAGATTTTGGAAAAGTGCAAAGAAGTATAGATTGTCAAAGAATATGAGAGCTTTAGATTCGGAAAAACATTTTGCTAAAGAGTTATTAGATATAGGTTCTGGCATTCGGAACAATGAGCAAGATGAAGTAGTGTTGCCAATAGAATGTATTAGTAAGAGTGATTTAGTGGATGAGATTTTTGGTTATGTTATAGAGGATAAGAATTGGAATGAGATGGCCAACATGGCTATTGTTGCGCCAAAGAATGTAGATGTAAAAGAATTGAATAATAGAGTTTTGAATATGCTCCCAGAAGATGAGATTTTGTATACGAGTATAGACAAAGCTGAGAATGAAGATAAGCAAGTGTTAGATGAGTATTTAGATGAGTTTTTATACTCATTAAGTCCCAATGGTTTCCCATTGCATGAGTTAAAGTTAAAAAAAAATGCTATAGTAATGTTGATTAGAAATTTGAACATAGAACAAGGACTTTGTAACGGAACTAGAATGATAGTGCAAGAATTGAGAACAAACTTAATAGTTTGTAGACTTTTGACTGGAGATAGAGTTGGGCAATTGGTTTATATCCCACGCATCACTCTGTGTTGCGATGGCGAGTATCCATTTGATTTGCATAGGCACCAATTTCCATTGGTGTTAGCTTTTGCTATGACTGTGAATAAAGCACAAGGACAGACTTTAGAAAAACTAGGAATAGATTTAAGTAAAGATGTGTTTAGTCATGGGCAATTGTATGTGGCCCTTTCAAGGGTTAGATCTTGGGAAGCTTTGAGTATTAGGTTATTATTAAATAATAACGAAAGAAAAGTGAAAAATGTTGTTTTTAAAGAGATTTTAGATGAAAATGATTAGATTTAGTAAAATAGATAGTAGTAATTGATCGAAAGTTATAGATCCTAAATGAAAGAGTGAGTTTCTTAGTATGCTAGAAAATAGCCTTTTTATACGCAAGATTTGATTTGTTTATTTTTTTGTGTTGTCCCATTTTAATTATATTATCCTATTCACCTACTCACAAACTCACCCAATTTTGATATTTATATTGTATGATTTATTTTATTGTGAATAAATGTTTTTAATTTGTTTGTTATTTTTTTATTTTAGGGGTAATTTTAGTTAGGTTTGACCATCAATCGGAAAGGGAAAGTTCATTAGATATGTGAGTACCAGTATGAGTTGTTTTGATTCAAGGTTTTTGTAATGATTTGACTAGCGAAGGAGCTCGCCCGAAGGGCGAGCCCCTTCGCTAGTTGATAGATAATATGTAAATGGTGTAATGGCTAACACATGCTGGTTCGCTCCCAGCCTCCGAATAACCTTTTGCACTAGCTGAAGGAGAGAAATACTATACCTATCTTTGTCAACTCAATCAAATTTAGTCCTTAAAATAAATTTCTTTCAGGGCCATGTTGTTACCTGGGAAATATCTTTAGAAACTGTTTCTGGTGTCCTCGTCCATTAAACTGCTTTAAGGGGTTATATTGTCGCTATCTACGCCCACAAACTAAACCTACTACTACTACACCTACTACGACTACTACTACAAAAAAGAAACCAAGCATACCATTATTAAAATTCCAAAATAATTTTTGTTTCAGGAGAGTGTTGTTGGGAAGGAAATGGCTTTAAAAAGTGTTATGATTGCAGATTGCCTCTAACATGCCATGAGGGAAAAGATTGTATAAATACAACTGACGATTGAAGTGAGTGTTGGAAGGGTAGCATCAATTGATATGTATAAGTGGAGATGATGAGATGAACGCTTTATTAAAGCTTAATTACAATATTATATAAATAGTTAAAAATATAAATGTATAATCATAATCGTAACTTAATTTAGTTATTAAGGAGTATAGTAATGTTAATTAGAAATTTAAATATAGAATTAGCACTTGGAGGAACTAGTCTAATTTAGGTACCCACTCAGTTTATTCGTGAGCTAGAATGTTCAAAGTAAATCTATCGGCATGGGCATGACACTAGTAATATTTAAATTCTAAATTGAAGTGAGTAGATGAAGGGCCAGAAGACTTTGATCAGCTATAACCTTGGCTGAAGTATAATATACCGGAGGCAAAATTTCGATACAAATCACAAACCTTTCGATTCGTCTCAGTGAGCATAGTCGAATAGTACACTCACTATTCACGGAAATGCCTGTGTTCCTAGATATAGGCCCCCGAAAATCGAAAACCATATGGGGGAGTAGCACATTTTTGGGGTGAAAAATTCGAATATGTAAATAATAGCTCATTCTTGAGAGCTCGACGAGCTGAGTCGAATGACACAAAAATAAACGAAATCTCAGCTCCCTACCTATTCAATACGTAAGAATCTTATAGTATACTTCGAAATCCCTCGATAAGCGCTATCTTTTTCCCAAGTGGACTTTTATTAACTTTTATCATACGTTAACTTTTCACATTTAATTTTACATGTACATGATTTATCAATATTATACTTAAAATTTTCGTAAAGATTTCTACATTGTCTCATCTAATATTTCGGCTTCTTAGTAGGTTTCTTTGTAGGGAGAGGAATTGGAAAGTAACAATGTTCGCCTTTATAGCATTTAAGTCCTTTTGGGCAATTCTTACAGCTTACATGGCGAGTTCCACTCCAACAACATTTTTCTGAATAAAATTTTATTTAAAATGTTTAAAGTCTGACGTGCTTTTTTTATAATAGCACAATTTGTTTTCGCATACATATTCAGGTGGACATTTGTTATACTCATCACATGTCCATGGCACTATATCTCTAATTAATAAATTATCGTATTTAGGTCGTTCTCCATAAGATAATACCAACGGGATTAAACATACTTGAATAAAAACCAACAGTATTAACTAATATTTGTTATGGAATTAAGTTTTAAGTGGTACTATTCAGTTATCTCCTCCTCATTTTCCTTCTGTTCTAGTCCATTCTTTTCTCATTACAGAATATTAAGTAATGTCAAGGATTAATTTAATCTACGTGCGGTCTACGTGCCGTTCTGGGCTCGAGAATAAATTCGGGGTTAGCTTACCCGAGTAACACTTCCCCCTGCTTGAACCGAAAAGAGAGAAAATGCTTGAGCCAAGAAAATGGGAAGAAAAGAAAGGGTCAAGTCGCGATGCAGCTACCCGGGTAACCTAACCATTTATTTTGATGTATATATGCGAGTCGCCCTGAACTCATGCGAGTCGGAAATAGGTTAGAATGGAGTCGTATTCCATATGTAACCTTCATCTATGCTTTGTCCTTGAATGCAGTTTCGGAATAAATCTTGAATCTACAGTTGATGGAATATTTATCTTAGGAAAATTACGAACCTTTGACAATGATAGGAGAAAAAAGTGGAAGAGAAGGAACCAGAAGAAAATCAAATGTGAGAAGATACCAACCCGAATAGTACCTTTAATTATAAAGTATTTACCTTCATTTTTGGAGAAGTTATTATTAATATGTAAATTATTTTATAGACTGATTAGCTCTGATAGAATGTACGGCTCTTATGTACACTGTTAACAGGATTTAATTCTCTAAATGTTTATTAAACAATTAATAAATACGTGGCAATACCTTAAAATTCCTTATTTTCAGGAACTAATTTTAATGGAATTTTCAATGTACACAAGGAAATTGAAAAATAAGATATTAAGCAAAAATGAATTAATACTTGACTATCATAAACAATAATATCGTTGTTTTATGACAAATATTCAAATTCATCGCCGTGTTTGTTAGCTACATTAAACGCCGCGTTAAATAGCCACATAATTGCTCAATACAAACAATCTGTCGTTTATCGAGTTGCTAACAAACAAGGTGATGTACATATTGTTGATGAATATTTTGTGGGTATAGCCCATGTAGGCGCGCGGCCATAACGGCGCAAAGCCATAACTTGTTTCAAGATTTCCGAATCTTACCGAATTTGGTATTAAATAATTTCTCTGATCGAGCTTAAGTGGTTGGTACCAAAGTTGATAAGGGCCAGAAATTTTCCAGCAAGTTATGGAAATTTTCCAGCAAGTTATGGAATATTTTCAATATTGTTTATCAAACCGAAAATATAGTTCCTCGTTACTTTTTTAAATTTGAGCAGTTGCTAAAAATTTTATAATATTTTTCTATTTCCTTCATTAAATAAAAAATAAAAATTATTTCCTGAAAATGAGGAATTCACATGATAATGTCACGTATTTATTATTTTCTGATAAACATTTTCGAATAATTTATCACTTAGATGTCTACATAAAAGCCAATGAATTCTGTCAACACATATCAGTCTTAAAAATAATTCCTTAATAATAAATACTCCAAAGATGAAGGTAAATATTACTAGAGATGTCCAAGACCGAAAATTTTCCAAGACTCAAGACCTAGACGTGATCCCATGACCAAAACTGAACCCAAGTCTCAGTTAGATCAAGACCTAGATGTGATCACATGACTCAATAATGGCCTTGAAGATCCAAGACTTGATTCCAAAGAGCAAGGCTTGAGCTCAAGGGCTCAAGAATGGATTTCGACACCCAAAAACTAGAACACATGAATTAAGGCCAGTACTTGACCCACAGACTTGACCCCCCGACATCGTCCAAGGCTCAAAATTAGAGTTTTTCGTTTTAAATCGACGTCTCTAGTAAATACTTTGGACGTCTCTAGTAAATACTAGCTACTTTAGTTATAATTCTATAACAAAATTTAGTTGATACTGTTGATTTTTATTCAAATATTCGTAATCGCTTTGGTATCATCTTATGCCAATGGGGGTAAGTGTTGAAGTTATTAATTTTCCCGAATACTTATTTAAGAGCAATGCTGTCACAAAAATAATGGCTATAAAAACTGTCATCTTTGTGAAATCTATGAAATATGCAATAATGGCTATCATTGTATGATTCCAATTTTTCTAAGAACGAAATAAATTTTAACACAATGCTGTATATTAAATTGTTAAAGATAAATGTATAATCATAAGAAAAATATATTTGATTGATATTATAAAATGAAAAAAATATAAGCCATAGAGGCAACATTTTGAGGCTATTTTCTGCTTGGTCTGCTTCAAAATGTGTAGAGAATTATATCGGAGAGTGGAGGAAAAATGACTAAAATTTTAAAATATTATAAGTTTTTTCGAAAAATGTTATTAACTTGTGCCAAACTTATGCCAAAGGTTGTAAGAGTAAAGCTTTAATCAATTTTCTCAAATTATTTATTTAAGGAGGTACCGAACATATGGGTTGTCCACCTGGTCAATCATGCTGCGGGGGCGAATGTGGTCCTCCTTGTTGAAAGTGAATAAAAAATAATAAATCTGCAGATCTGTGATATAATACAAGTGGAGATAATGAGACAAACACTTTATTAAACCTTATTTACAAAATGTTACATAAATGGTATTAATAACTTTATAAATAATAATAAATGTGTTAATTGCGTTGTGTCTGATTTTTTATTTATTGTGTCCATGCTTTCAGAATCCTCCTATTTTTCAGAAAATTTTCGCTGTGGCGTTAATTTTGATTTTAATTATACACCAGGCTTTCAAAATTCTCGATATTTTGCTAAAAATGAAAGAAATCTGACGTATTGCTAATTAAAAATTTGAAAAAATTTTCGCCTACGCCGTTGAAAGTGAGATACAGGCGTATTAGAGGCAGATAAGAGAAAGTATCTTTAAAGGACTTTGCGCTATTATCGGTGCCAAATTCGGATATCTGAACTAAAGACCGGATCGAGACGTGATCTCGAACGAAAATCTAGATTATCGAGATCGAGATTTTTTGAGACATTCAGACCTGCTCAATTTAGTTAAAATCAGTAGAGAACATGCGGAATAAAGCTTTTTATTCATAATTTTAATTATTTTTACGTTTTTAAAATAATTCCCTATTTTTTGCCCTATTTTTGACCGATTTCGCCCTATTTTTGCCGTATTTTTGAGTTGCTGCGCCCCATTTTAGTGGTTTGGAAAAGGCCACCCTGTTATACACTGATATTTAACATCATTATTTCTGAACCATGTTTGCTCAAGTTAGTTACCAAAGTGAAAATATTCTTGATATTTTCACTTTTAATTATTTGAGATTTTTATATTTTTAAGTGTATAAAATAATTTGCCTATTTTGCCCTATTTTTACCAATTTCGTACTAATTCTTCCGTACTCCAGCCTTAGCCAACCGTCTGCCTATTTCCACGTTTATTTATTCTTTATTTATGTTTATGATGAACATGTTATTCTATTCTTGTTTATTCTGTTAGTCTATAGAAAATTTTTAAATTCTGCAGAATCTGCAGATCTGTGGTATAATTGAAAAAAATTCTGTATCCTGTGTACAGCTTCTGTGGCTCAAAATCTGCGGTCAATATAAATATGCCCTTGATGTTTACTACTAAAAATTAAAATCACGCTAATCAAAGTCCTATTGACAAAATTATTTCAAGTTTGGTAAAATGAACAGCAATAAGCGCACACAGGCTTCTGACAATATTTCAGCATACAATTCAAGAATTATTGAAAACAACCATAATGAAATTTCTTAGTATAAATAAATAATAATGCCTTATACTCCATTTTACCAAATCTAGACTTATATAATTATTTTCAACGATGTACAGGGTGACAAGAAAGAAATGGGGTTTCTTCTCTAAAGATATAGGATGTTATTTGCAAAGCTGTCAAAATCCCTTGATTTTAGTGAATCCTGAGGGTTTTCGTGAATCTACGGGAAATCCTTCAGGGTATTTTACAGCCTTGGATTCGAGGCCACTTTTGACGTAGAGAACGGATCTTTCGTCAGAATTCTTCTTCAGCTCATAAGGCTAGAGTAGTGCAGGGTTGATCACAGCCAATTTACCTGTTTTAACACATCTTAATTATTGCCACCGTACTCATTGGATTAGAATCCGATGGATTATTCCTTTTGGTATTTTTGAGGGAACTGTCTGTTATTAATAACCCAAAAGTTTAGAGTCGATACTGCAATCACCCGTCCGGGAATGAGAGAAAATCTCACCCAAGGTGTTGCGAACTTTTGCTTAAAATTTTTCTGCGCATCTTCCACTCTATATCGAAGCAAAGGAAGGACACTTCAAAAATTTTTGATAATATCTGTTCCTTGTTTAATTCTCTATCATATAAGCTTGGCTTGATCCCATTATCTCTAATTTGAATAAAGTTATGGCATAAAATGTGTGCCCCATTTCTTTCTTGTCATTCTGTAAATGGACCCCTTTCGTTGAAATTGTTTTAATAAATAAATAAACGTTTAATAATTATTTTATTCACTCATTTTTAACACTTGTTTAGGCAAAGATTAGTGTAATGTCTTTATTATAAAGCTCTTTTCAACCGCATTCTCTCATTGCATCACTTCCTTCAATTTTTTCGTAAGCTAATCAAAATCTGGAGGAGGGTATGTACAAACGCCCTTATAGCATACAAATTGCATGGATTGTACTCTAGGGCACCAGTAACAGTTTTGAAAGCCATTTCCTATCCAGCAACATTGAGCTGAAACAAAAGTTTATTTTGAGTATTCAATCAAATGCTTGCGTGGTTTTGGAGGGTGGCAAATACCAACGAAACAGGTATATCCAGGAGGACAGTTGATAAACACACCAGCCTGATGGGCTTACGTTTGTACTTGTATCCTCAACACTTACATCTGTACTAGTATCCTTTGCAAACCCCCAATTAATATCTCCTTTAATAAAAACTAATTTTTTTTCTCATTTCAAGCAACCTTTGGCACAAAATGATAACATTGTAATTATGTATAATTGAATAATAACCAACAGTATCAACTAAAAATTTAATAAAATTAAAATTTAGGTAGATTAAATTAGGGGTGAAATTAAAATTTAGGGGGAAATATTTACTCGAGACGTCCAAGACTTTCGTCATGAGTCTTGACTCATAATTTATTAAGATTTAATATGAGCCTTGGGGGTCAAGTCGTAAGCCTGTGGTTTGGTCTGTGGGTCCAGTCATTGTCTTGAGCTTTGTGGTTGATTCTTTGATCTTGAGGTCAATTCTTGAGTTTTAGGTTTCTGGGCTTAACTCTTTAAAAATTTTTGGTCTTGGACATCTCTTGTAGTATTTACCTTCATTTTTGGAGTAAATATTATTAATGAATTATTTTTAAAGACTAATATGTATTGACAGAATTCATGGGTTTTAAAGGCTTATTATTTCCAATGTTTGTCAGAAAAATACTACATATACGTGGATCTAGCCATTAAATTTATCATTTTCAAATAATAATTTAAAAGAATTATTTCATGACAATCATAAGCAATGTATAAATTGTTTGTTTTATTACAAATATTCAGACTAGGGTAGCTCAACGTCGCCGATCCCGACGATTTTTTCTGGCAAAACCCCGACCCCCTTGGAGGGAGAATGCCCACTCCAAGGGAGGGAGAATGGAGGGAGAACAACCTTCTCCAAGGAGGGAGAATGGAAGGAGAACAACCTTCTCCAAGGAGGGAGAACATTCTCCCTCCCCTCATTGGAGGGAGAATGCCCCCTCCAAGGGGCATTCTATTAGAGGAGAGCATTGAAATAGGAGGGGAATTCAATTATAGGTTATAAAGTAAATTAAAATCAAACTGGTTGAAATCAAATAATTATATTTATTCATTTATCCGTAAAATTTGTGTGAACATTATAATGCGCTTTATTACAGAGCTTTTCTTATACATATTATCTTAATATATGCACTATTTAAAAACACGTGGAGGAGGGTATGTACAAACACCCTTATAGCATACAAACGGATACAATATTCTAGGGCACCAGTAACAGTTTTGAAACAGATTTCCTTCCCAGCAACATTGAGCTGTATAAGAAATTTTATTTTGAGTATTTAACCAATTCCTTACGTGGTTTTGGTGGGTAGCACAGACCAAAGAAACAAGTATACCCAGGAAGACAGTTGATAAACTCACAAAAGCCTGATGGGCTTACATCCGTTTCATTATCTCTTCTACCAGATGATAATACCAATGCGATTAGACACATTTGAATAATAATAAACATTATCGGCTAGAATTTGGTATAGAATTAAAATTAAGGGGGAAAAAGTATAAAATAGAGACGTCTATGACTTTTGTTATGAGTACTGTCTCAAGTTATCTTTAGTTATTTCGATCATGAGCCTTGGGGGTCAAGTCTTAAGCCTTAGGTTTGGTCTGTGGGTCCAGTCATTTTCTTGAGCTTTAAGGTTGATTCTTGAATCTTAAGGTCAATTCCTGAGTCTTAGGTTTAAGTCTTGGGCTTAAATCTTTGAAAATTTTCGGTCTTAGACATCTCTAGTAGTATTTACCTTCATTTTTGGAGTAGTTATTATTAATGAATTATTTTAAAGACTGATATGTATTGACAGAATTCATCGGTTTTAAAGGCTTATTATTTCCTATGTTTGTCAGAATAATAATATTTACGTGTCAGAATAATAATATTTTCGGTTAAGAGACTCTACAAAACCTCTAAAACCTCATGCACCTTCGAAAATGAAAATGATTTTGGATCCCCCACCGCCTCAACCCAGCTCTCCCATCAAGTTTCCAATCAGCCGTGTACGAGTGCTCTCTTCTGGTTTGGTTGAACGTCTTCCAGCCTCAAAAATCACAAAAAATCAAATGTCCAAAATTCGGAAGAACAAGAAAATTGAGAAAGAAAATATTTCCAACATTCCACAATTAAACTCAATTAAATTTACGGTCCCTCCTATCTTTAGGCGAAAGCCACACATTATGAGTAATTGTAACAATGTAAATCCAAATTGGCCCATTCCGAATCCTTTCCCTTTATTCAACATCTAGCCTATACTTTGTTATCTCCCATTATTCAATATCCAACCCATTCACTCAATGTTCGCCGCGGGAGTGTCGCATCCGGCGAATTACTCATTGAAATAAACTTATTAAAATTACGAAATTTGTTAATCATTGGAATTCCTTATTCACTTTCTCACACATCTATTTCAAAATACTTTCCTGTAAATCAACCGCTATAAAAATAGCTGGCTTTTCCCCGTTCTATCTATCTCAGCGGTCATTAAGCTCTCTTCGGATCACAATCTGTCCCTTTTATTATAAATTTATATGCTTCTTCCTCTCTCAAATTAATTGTTGTTTTCATTGCGAAATAAATAAATTATTGAACGTTAAAATAATTAATTAGGATTCCCGAAAATATAGGGACATTTCCTACATTATTTTGAATAAAATTATCACAAAAGAAAATAAATTATTGAAGATTATAATATAATAAATATTTATAAAGATTAGTTTTTATTCGTAAGGTTATTTTGAATAAAATAATTACGAAAGAAAATAAATTATTGAAGATTATAATATAATAAATATTTCTAAAGATTAGTTTTTATTCGTAAGGTTATTTTTAATAAAATAATCACAAAAGAAAATAAATTATTGAAGATTATAATATAATAAATATTTATAAAGATTTGTTTATATTCGGAAGGTTATTTTGAATAAAATAATCACAAAAGAATATAAATTATTGAAGATTATAATATAATAAATATTTCTAAAGATTAGTTTTTATTCGTAAGGTTATTTTTAATAAATTAATCACAAAAGAAAATAAATTATTGAAGATTATAATATAATAAATATTTCTAAAGATTAGTTTTTATTCGTAAGGTTATTTTTAATAAAATAATCACAAAAGAAAATAAATTATTAGTAGTTAACCCCCCCCCCCCCCCCCCCCCAAATCGCTCACCCCAAATCGCTCTTCCCAAATCGCTCACCCCCAGATCGCTCACCCCCAAATTGCTCCTCCCAAATCGCTCATCTACCCAAATTACTCGTTTCCCTAAACCCACACCTTTTGAACATAATAGGACTCAAATAGTACCCAGCACTTGACCTCTGACCAGGACTCAAAACTAATTTTAATATGTCCAAATTTTCTAGAACATTCTCCTTTTTCTCTCTTTTAACTTATCTCACTATTCTTATTTAGTTTATTTTCACACTGGAAGTCTTTAAACTATACATTTTATGTTCTTTAACCTATAGTTTTTATTTTTAATAATAAAAAATAAAAACACATAGGCTTCTTTTTTTATTGATTTTATTGTTACTTCTTTAGTTTATTTCGGACATTTCCAATCTTTGCGTTTTTAGATGAATGAAGAAAACCTTTTAATTGAATTAAAAAAATATATTACTGAGGGTTCCTTTAAATTGAAATGGCCGCGAAGTGCCGATAAGTTTACAAGGATGAGTGTTTTTATTGTTCTGATACAGCTTTTTCGCCAGGTTTAACTTTTAAAGTCTTTTACTCTCATCTTTTAGGTGGACTCTTCATTTCTTTATTGGATTTTGTTGGTATTTGTGCAAAACATCTTGACCTTTATGTTAAGAAGACGTCGTTCCGTTTGTTTTTAAATATTAAGAAGTCCAAAGTGCCTAATGAGGATTCTGAAGAGCCGAAAGATAAGGTTTTTTAAAGATTTTTGTTCTTTCCTAATTTTGCGTGTTTGAGATTCAACGCTTGTGCATCTCTCAAACAGAAGACAAAATCAGTTCAGACTACAACCTTTGTTTGCATCCACATATTGAAGTTCCAATAAAAATTGAAAGTCATATTGGGGACAAGCTTCGTGAAATTGTGGATATGGTTATTGCGAATATTAGTGCCGAATTACAACAACGCTTACAAATTGGCGTCAGTGAACGGGATGGAGAAGAACGTCAGATTTCAAAGGTTGCCGAAAAGCTTGAACAGGTTTTTGTTTGATAAATTTGGCCCTTTCTAGTTTACGAACTTTGTCGTATTCTTTGAAGTCTCAACTTTCATGTTGAAACTCCACCTCCTTATTAGCCAAAACATAACCGACCTTATTTGGTCTATAGGTTCTCATTATTTACATATCTTTTGGGTTTCTAGGATGGGCTTCGATTTACGTGTTGATTGTCTTTTACTCCTATTCACGCTTTATTTAGCTTTCAATCTTTAATTTTAGATTCCATTTGAAGGCAAAATATCTTATGATGGTTGGATTTGTGCCAAGCCTGGATGTGAACTTAAAGAGAATTTGTGGTTGAATCTTAGTGATGGTGTTATCATGTGTGGACGATATGCTCCTATGAGTGCCGTTAAAGGGAATGGACATGCAGTTAGTTTATATATTTAGCTTTTCTATGACAAATTAAGAGTCAAATTGAATGACACTCCCCTTATCTAATTTGGAGTCTCGTTTCTATCCTAATTTGTGTCAAACAGACTAATCTAGTGAGAACGCCTAGATTTAAAAAGCTTTAGTAAGATTGAAAGTTAATTCTCTGACAAGGCCAAGTTAAATTCAGATTCGGGTCTTAAATCTATTCTAGAAAAAGAAATCAATTTGTATTATCTTTTTAATTTTTAGAAAACTCATTATGAAGAAACTGGTTATCCTTTAGTGATTAAATTAAGTACTATTTCTGATGGTGATGGGGATATTTACAGTTATTCTGAAGATGCTCTTGTTCGTGATCCATTGTTAGCAAAGCATTTGGCACATTTTGGACTTTCTAAAAATAAATTTAATAAAACTGAAGATACAACAATTGTGGGTTCTAAAAGGGAGCTACCGTTTAGAGCCCATAATTATCTTGCTAAAAACCGCATCACATCTCTTTATAAAAATAGAAAAAATATTAAAAAAAGAGTGATCGATGATGTCGAAGTCTATAAGAAAAACATAGAAGTTTTCAAAAAAAACATCAGTAAAATGTTTCAACTATTAGAAGATCCTGATTTCGGCTGTGATCTTCATTCAGTAAAGGCTCTGCAAAACAAACACGATCTTGTTGAAAAAGATTTGGATGGTTTAGAAGATGGTATATATAATTTGCATCAAGAAGTGAATTAATAATATATTGGTTTTATTTTTTTTTCATATTTTTAGGCAAATTCTTTACAACAAAAATACCCCGATGTTGCTGAACAAATCCAGGAATTACAAAATCAATTAAACGATCAATTGCCAACTTTAACACAAAAAGCCAAAATGAGAAAAGATAAATTATTAGAGAATTATGGTAATAAGAAAAACTTTAAAATTATAATCCAATCTAGATTATCTACGTTTCTTAAATGGTTTTCGCAATATAATGCAATGGATTGATGGAATGATTAATTATTTTTCTAGTGATGAGATTGCAAATAACGTAGCTGGCGCTGAAGCACTTCTTGAAAGACATCAATCAATTTTAGAAGAAATTACCTCAAAGGAAATTAAATTTAAAACTTTGAGACAATTGTCTAACCAATTAATTAATTATGAAAATTTTTCATCTGATGCTGTTCGTCAGAGGATGCATGATATCAAAAAGGTAAGAGATAAATTGAGTATTTTTTTAAATATAAAAGGCTCGTAAACGTCTAAATGGTGCTGTGGTACAACGCAGAAAAATACTTGATCAATGTCTTGAACTTCAACTTTTCTATCGCGATTGTGAACAATGTGATACTTGGATGAATGCTCGAGAAGCTTTTCTCGCTCAAGAAGATCCAACTGGAGATAATGTTGAATCTCTAATTAAAAAACATGAAGATTTTGATAAAGCAATTGCATCGCAACAAGAAAAATTAAATAATTTGGATCAATTAGCAAAACAATTAGTGGCTTCTGAACATTATGAAAAGCATGCAATTAGTAACAAATTTATTAAAATTAAGTTAAAAAAATAATTCTCAGATACAAAACGTGAACAAATCTTTGATCGTTGGGACAGACTTAAAGAACGTTTAACTGAAAAACGTTCCAAACTAGGCGAATCTCAGACACTATTACAATTTTATCGTGATGTCGATGAAGTTGAAAATTGGATATCTGAAAAGTTTCAAATTGCGCAGGTTGAAGAATATTTAAAAATTAAAATTTGACAATTCAGGAGAATTCCCTGCGGAAAAGATTTTTAAAAATAGGCAAAATAAAGTTTCTACGGTAAAGAATATGCTGATTACTGTCGAGCTCTTTCGAATAAAATATTATTTAAATATTTCAATTTTTCACCCCAAAACCAACTTCGTTTCCCTATGGTTTTTCGATATTCGAGGACCTAAATTCGGGTTTGTGATTCTGAGTTCAGATTTGTAATCTGTATATTTTTTACCCTAGAAAAATCCTTTTTCTTAGTTTTAAAATATTTTTCTCGCAAGGACCCCAATTCTCCTGGATTGTCTTAAATTTTAAACAACTTATTTAGGAAGTTGATTATTGTGATCCTACAAATATTCAACAAAAACATCAAAAACAACAAGCATTTGAAGCTGAACTTTCCGCTAATGCTGAGCGTATTGCTACTATAATTTCTGCCGGTCAAAATTTAATAAGTTCCGCAAAATGTGGTGGAGGAGAGGATGCCGTCTCTCAATGTTTAAATGCTTTAAATGATCAGTGGGAATTGTTGGTTAAAACGAGTACAGAGAAAAGTGCAAGATTGAAAGAGGCTAATAAACAAAAAACATTTATTGAATCAATGAAGGATTTGGAATTTTGGCTTGGAGAGGTTAATTAAATAAATAAATTATTTTTAATTAGAAAAATATTTAGGTTGAGACACTTTTGAGTAGCAAAGATACAGACTGTGATTTGCCTTCTATTGAGAATTTATTAAAGAAGCATCAATTGTTAGAAGCTGATATTAATGCACATGCTGATCGGGTTGCTAATGTAAATGGACAGACTGAGGCATTAATGGAGGCTGACCAATTTTATAAAGATTCTATCGAAACACGAAGGCAAGGAATTACTGAAAGATATGCAAATGTTAAAGATATGGCAAAACAAAGAAGAGAAAATTTAAATAAAGCAATTACTGTTCATCAATTACTTATAGATATTGATGATGAAGAATCTTGGATTAAGGTGAGGAGGGGATGAAAATATAACGAATTAGAATTGTCAGAATTAAAAATTATAAAAATAGACCAGAATTAAAAGATACAATCATTGAAATATTTTAATTATTATAATATCGCAATTTCAATTTAAAGTTAAAGAAATTACTTGTTAGCAGCGATGATTATGGGCATGATTTGACAGGAGTACAGAATTTGAATGGAAAACACCGTAGACTTGATATTGAATTAGCTAGCCAGCTAGCCACCAAGCACAAGTACAAAATCTTAGATCTAAAGCAGTTGAGCTTCTACAAGCGAGTGAAGTAAGGGCTCCCGAAATTCGGAAAAGAATTCAAGTGAGTTTATATGAGAAGTATAAGGAGATTTACTTTTTCTTATTTAAAGGCACTAGAAGATAGCTGGCATTTTTTTCTTTTCAATAGAAAAAGATCTAAGTTACGTAATTTTTATTTAAAATTAAAAATCGAAAAATATGACAAAATTATTTATCGAATGTAACTGAAATTTAAGCAGTACCTATACCTTTGTACTAGAACCGGTACCCGGGTACGTACTTGGGCACCGGTTCAGGTGCCCGGGCACGTACTTGGGCACAAGTACGTGCCCGGGCACGTACTTGGGCTCCGGTTTAGGTGCCCGGGCACGTACTTGGGCACCGGTTTAGGTGCCCGGGCACGTACTTGGGCACCGGTTTAGGTGCCCGGGCACGTACTTGGGCACCGGTTCAGGTGCCCGGGCACGTACTTGGGCACCGGTTCAGGTGCCCGGGCACGTACTTGGGCACCGCTTTAGGTGCCCGGGCACGTACTTGGGCACCGGTTTAGGTGCCCGGGCACGTACTTGGGCACAAGTACGTGCCCGGGCACGTACTTGGGCTCCGGTTTAGGTGCCCGGGCACGTACTTGGGCACAAGTTCTGGTGCCCGGGCACGTACTTGGGCACCGGTTTAGGTGCCCGGGCACGTACTTGGGCACCGGTTCAGGTGCCCGGGCACGTACTTGGGCACCGGTTCAGGTGCCCGGGCACGTACTTGGGCACCGCTTTAGGTGCCCGGGCACGTACTTGGGCACCGGTTTAGGTGCCCGGACACGTACTTGGGCACAAGTACGTGCCCGGGCACGTACTTGGGCTCCGGTTTAGGTGCCCGGGCACGTACTTGGGCACAAGTTCTGGTGCCCGGGCACGTACTTGGGCACCGGTTTAGGTGCCCAGGCACGTACTTGGGCACAAGTTCTGGTGCCCGGGCACGTACTTGGGCACCGGTTTAGGTGCCCAGGCACGTACTTGGGCACCGGTTTAGGTGCCCGGGCACGTACTTGGGCACAAGTTCTGGTGCCCGGGCACGTACTTGGGCACCGGTTTAGGTGCCCAGGCACGTACTTGGGCACAAGTTCTGGTGCCCGGGCACGTACTTGGGCACCGGTTTAGGTGCCCAGGCACGTACTTGGGCACCGGTTTAGGTGCCCAGGCACGTACTTGGGCACCGGTTTAGGTGCCCAGGCACGTACTTGGGCACCGGTTTAGGTGCCCAGGCACGTACTTGGGCACCGGTTTAGGTGCCCAGGCACGTACTTGGGCACCGGTTTAGGTGCCCAGGCACGTACTTGGGCACCGGTTTAGGTGCCCAGGCACGTACTTGGGCACCGGTTTAGGTGCCCAGGCACGTACTTGGGCACCGGTTTAGGTGCCCAGGCACGTACTTGGGCACCGGTTTAGGTGCCCGGGCACGTACTTGGGCACCGGTTTAGGTGCCCGGGCACGTACTTGGGCACCGGTTCAGGTGCCCGGGCACCTACTAGGGCACCGGTTTAGGTGCCCGGGCACGTAATTGGGCACCGATTCTAGTACAATGGTATCGGTACTGCTTAAGTTTCAGTCACATTTGATACTTAATTTTGTCAAGTATTGATGACATTACAGGGTGGCCAGAAACATTATGACTTATTATTTATGTCATAACTTTATTCAAATTAAAGATAATGAGTACTAAACTTTGTGGAGGTTTCGTCCTGTTTCCACTGGAAACAGGACTTTCAGTCCTGTTCAGGACTTTTGTCCTGTTTCCAAACAGGACTTTCAGTCCTGTTCAGGACTTTTGTCCTGTTTCCAGTGGCGGTAGCTTCTCAAAAATTTATTATTTATTTCTTTAATTGTCTATCATTTAAGCTTTTGGAACTGATTATCTTTAATTTGTAGACATTATGGTATAAATAATGTATCCTAATCTTTTCTGGTCACCCTGTATAATTTTTTAGACTAGTGGGGCAGCAAAGAGACGGTCAGCAAAGTTAACAAAAATGGCCCAATTGCAGAAAGAAAACATATTATAATTTATTTTTTAAATTATCTTAATGTTATTTTTGTCTAATTTTAAAATTTAAATAATGAATTAAAAAAAAGTTGTAAAAATATTTATTTAAAGTATGAGTTTTAAATAATATATGTACCGTAAATGCTCTAAATAAAGCTCCGGGCTTATATTTTTCAATTGATTGGGCTTCTAACAAGGTATGGGATTCTATTGGAGCCGGCTTCTATTAGAGTATTTACGATATATAAACACATGGAAATTTTAAGAATAATTTTAATATCAATTATGTTAGAGCGTATCATTTTAGGTCCAAAAATCGAAATAAGATCCTATTTGGTATCAAAAAATTGCAAAAATAGATTCGAAAATAATCCGAAAAAGGTCAAAATAGGGCCACATTTTGGCTAAATAAGTTCAAATTTTCATTAGAATTTATTAATTAAAATGGACTAAATTTAATTTTTCTTAGTAAAAACAAATTTAGTAAAGGCCCCGGGTAAGGTTTTTTCAAAATTTGAAAAAAGTTTAAATTCAAGCTTCTCTGCTGTTTTTTTATTGAAATAAAAATTTATTGAGATACAAGTGGAGTTGGCGTCTGATACAAGTGGAGTTGGCGTCTGATACAAGTGGAGTTGGCGTCTCAAATGGGAAATCAATGGATTTGGACGTGAAAGGGTTTGTGTTGTTAAAGGAATTTTGATAGTTAGGTATTTCGAGCTAATATAGATCTTTATAAATTTAACTCGTCAATCATCAAAGGTAATTCATATTACGAGGGAAATTTATTGTTCCTAGTACATGAAGATATACCAGTATACTATTATCGCATGCAAAATTTTTTTTGGATTTTTGTGTGGCTGGAAAGTCGGAAATTGACTTGAAATATACAAATATTAAGATAACTCTCCAAAAATCCTAGAATAAGTTCAAAAAAGGTCGAAATATGTTCAAAATAAGTTCCAGGTCCGAAAAGGCAAAATATGTTTTAGGTTCTAATAACCAGATGTGGGTCGGAACAGCCAGAGGTGTCGGAAATAGGAACAGACTCGAAAGTCGGGAATCGGAAATTAAAATTTTTTACGGGAATCGGAAGGAAAAAACGCTAGAATCGGAAGTTTCCTCTATACTCCAAATCCACCGATAGACCCCTCAACTCCTCTTGATCCCTCGATATCACACCAAATCACTCAATATTTCGATATAGAATAAAGATAGCTTTGTGCATTTTTTCTGCGCCGCAGGCGAAAATTTTGAGAAATTTGAAGGTTCTTAAGTTAGATTTTTTCATTTTAAGCGCCGCAGGCGAAAATTTTGAAAAATTTGGAAACGATAAGTTTTTCCCAAAATTTAGCGAAAAATAGGCAAAAACCTAAAAAGACACGCTTTATTTATGACCAAAGTCAACAATCTTCATGTTGCGGGTTACAATACCCTTAAGAATAACAGGTTTAAATGTTTTTGTAAATGGTACAGAAATAATAGTGCCTGTTTTTACATTAGGTCTGATAAAGTTTGAATATTCTAAAACCATCACCTCGTCATCATCATCATTATTTGAAATTTCTCTGAACTCATTTTCCTCCCTTATTCTTCCAAAGTCAAGCACACTTTCTTTGAATGAAGTATAATGAAGTTTCTTGCATATATCTGAAGTCAATGTAATCCCCCGTACCTTTAGCATACTCTTCTCTTCTCCTGTTTTTTTATCAATCATTTTTAATGCATAGGCTTTACATGCTGCGCCAACATATTCTTTTATATTAAATTCTCCATATTCTTCTGACAATTCTCCTAAATGATATCCCGGCGTAAGTGGACTTCCATTAATTTTCGGATATGAAAAAAGAACACTATCTGTATCTCCGTAAAGGAGAGAACAACCATGAGTTCTTGAAATTTTTTGCATTGCCCTGAACAAATTGATCCTCGCCATTGAGGTAGTCCATAAAGAAATGACAATATTGCTCGTTTGATGCTCTTCTATAAATTCATTCTTAGTTTCATAATTAATCAAAACTGTATATTCCGTCAATTTATCAATCGAATTGACTTCAATTGATTTGTTCTCTACAAAATTACGTAGTTCTGATGGAGAATCCGTGATATGACTCTTCGTTAACGTATTCCTTAAACTAAACCGCCCCCAAAGAGAGTTTAGCATAAGCTTTGAAATATAACGCATTGCTTTATCTGGAATCATCTTTTCTCTTTCTAAATAGATTCCAAATTTCTCTTGACATTCTCTAATAAATTTTTCTTCTTTTTGATGTGAATCTATCTCTTTCGGAAATCCACTTGCATGGATTTTCATACTCATAAACTCTGAAACATATCCTTTAAACAATTCGTTGTCCCATTTTTCATAGTGAAGCGCGCGAAAATATTTGATAACTTTATATCCGTTGTTTAATGCTTCCCCAAGTTCTATAGAAGTACACGTTGAAACCCAACCTCTTTCTTTATCTCCATGCTGACAGCTGTAGTCAGGAATTATACCGCCTTTGGGGAAGTCTAATGAACATTGACGACACAGTGGGAAAAGTAATCTGTCATCGAACTTTACTGGCATTACCGGAATTTCTGTCTTATATGGAGGTATTAAAAATATTTTAAGAATTCCTTTGATGGGAATATGTTCACTTCTAGTCCAGTACACGTCTTGTTCGTTTTTTGGAATAATTATAATTTTTGGATGTCCAATTGGAAATGATGTTGTTGCTATTGTTGAAGGATAAAGTGAATTGAAGTCTAAATATGAAATTTCGTGTTCTTCATCGACCTCATAATGAAGAGAGAGTGGGCCAGTTCTTCCTCCGAAAAAGCAATCCCTTAGTTTGATTGGGCCTTTATCGATATAATTTGAAAAGCATTTTCTCATTTTCCTATTTCTTCTTAACATCTCTTTAATTCCTATTTCTTCTTAACATCTCTGCTAAATAGGAATTTAATTCCTATTTCTTCTTAACATCTCTGCGCCGCAGGCGAAAATTTTGAG